ATGCCCATGCAGCCAAAATGAAGTTTGGGAAAGGGGAGATTAGCAAATTCCCTGAAAACCATGCAGTTGTTCAACAGATTTCCACTGGCCCCTGGCGTTACCCGCAACGTCCTCGGTATCAGTTTTCCAGAGCGTGTGTGTGTGCCTGTGAGTACGGAGTGGTTGGGGCGTCACACTTATTCATGTTATTTTGCAGGGGGTATCAGGACCCCCCAGGTATGCGGGAAAAGGAGGGAATTGTGCTCGGCTCCAGCTTACTCTCGCAGTGGTGGGGGAGGCAAGTTGCCCCTGTGGCTGCTCTCTCCTGCTGCCCAACGTAATGGTGCTGAGGCCTCAAAACATCCTCTGACAGAGAAACAGCAAAGTGTCTCCTGGCGTCTCTGTATGGCCCTGGCAATCTGTTTCTACCTGCTCAAGCCCACTGGAGTGTGGACTTTCACATGGACATCGTGTGTGTGGCTCAGGCTGACTTAGCTAGCAACCTCCTGTTGGAGGTGATGGCTCTCTCCTAGCTGGCCAGAAACACGTATCCTCACCATGCCCTCCCTGAGACCTGGCGAGTTTAGGATCTAGGTGAGAGAGATGCAGCCATGGGTCCTCTGCACTGCTGTGCTGTCTGTAGGAGGAATCACAGAGCTGCCTCCTACATGGAAGTGGGAGGCAGGACAAAATTGGGACAGATGGCTTCTTGCTGGTTTGCAAGCCCTTTAGCTTGAGTGGCAGTTCCAAAAATGTCAATTTTATCTGCCTGGCACAAAGAAAAGGCAGCATCTTTTGGTAGGTCTGGCTGAGCAAACCAGATTCAGCAAAGGTAAGGGAGGGGAAGTAAAAAAGCCTGGATATTCTTTTGCTTGGGCTGATCATCTCCAGGTGTGAGAAGGAGTCAGCATCAGACCCCGCAGGACTGAGGCAGCAGGTTGTCCCCCTTCAGCCAGTCTCGTGTGGACCAGGGAATGGAGATGGACTTGGATGTGCTGGGGGAGACATACGGAGTAAAATCAGGAGCCAGAAACAGGTGCCGGGTGCCAGCACTGAACTCAGACATGGGTTAAGTTTCAGGACAAGAGAACATACGGAAAAAATTGTCAGGAAAAAAAAGTGGCAAAAATGTGCTTGGACTACATCTTTTCTGGTTGAAAGCCTAGGAGATAAGCGTGGAGGCTGCATCTAGAGCTTGGTTGCATTGTCAAAGCAGCAGTCCCCTGTGTGCTGCCTAGCTCTTCAGGATGATGCTCCTCTGTCCAAGCAAGTCCAAACTGATCCATTTCCTTGTAGCAAATAACAGGGAGCCTCCATGGGATGAGGAGCTGCCAGGCAGAGGTGGCGGCTGGAGGTTTCTTCAGTTCTGCTTTATCTTCTCTCTTGAGGGTCACCTGTGGTGCTGTGCCCTGCGCTGACCTGGAAGGCAGCACAGAAAGGAGATTTCCCAATTCTGCTTTTTTTTAATTTCCTTTCAAACAGTTGGGGATCAAAGATGGAAGCCTGCAGCACGTTTCTGAGTTTTGGGAGATTTGAATCTCAGATACTGCAAGCACGCCAGTGCTTCCACATTGCCTTAGGTAAAGAAACAGAGCTTTCTGCAAAAAGCAAAACCTCTTGTCAGTCTTTTCTTGCTCCAATACATACTGTAAAGCCCTGCATACCTACTAGGGCAGAAAACCAGCCTCCTGCCCTCAAAGGAGTTGCAACTGGTAACAGCATTACCAGGTTTGCTGCATGAGCTATCTGCTCGCAGTAAAGTTACCAAAAAATGTCTTGGATAGGGATTTTTGTTTTCTTTTTTGGTTGTGATTTTTCTTTCCCCCAAGCCTTTTGGATCCCACAGTGTGAAGTTGTGTGGCCGTTTGGGAGGAGAGCAGCAGTGCCCATGTGAAGGGTTTGCCGTGTGTCTGGTCCCTCTCCGCACGTGGGGCCCCGCTGTGGGCTCTGCCGGGGTCCGGTGGGTGAGGCGGCAGGAGGGGTCCCACGCTCTCTTGGTCTGGGGTTTTATGGGAGAGGTTTAAAAGCGCACCTCCTCATAGCATTGTTAATCCCAAAGTGTCACCCGGAGGAGTCAGAGGCTACCTGAAGGCGTGGGTTAATTATGGCTGAGCCTCTGCTTGTAACAAAATGTGTGAAGGGTGTGAAATGCCCTTTGCCTTGAAATTTCATTATGAAAAGAGCAGCTGAAGGGTTTGAAATGAGGATGCTTTAGGGACTGGACCCAGCAGGTGCTTTGAAGTGTGAGCACATTGCACTTTGCACCAGCACTGGGAAAAGTCCCCCTTGCGACTGTGGAGCCAGGCCTGGGTTTGGTGCGTGGGACCTGAGGAGCACTTGGCAGCTGGGGCTGGGCAGCCCCCTTCGCCAGGGGAAGAAAACCTTCCCATCCCACGGCCTCAGCCGCTCCCACTTCCCAGCCGCTTTGTTCGACTTGCCTTCATTTTCTGCACTCAAGTTTTCACTGCTCTTGCTTATGCATGATGGTGATCATCTTCCCACCACCTTAGTTATTGTGTGAACCCTTTTGTTTCGGGTGAGGATGCTGAGAATTTGCTCAGATCCTCCTCCACGAAAGCTCACTCCTCCCTGTGAAGTCATTTATGCCCGCGGCAGGTGATGAATCCTTTGAAAACCTTGGTTTGACACTTGCATGTTAAAACCTTCATTTGAAAGGTATTTGTGGCTGTTTCAAGAACCTGCGTTCGGTCTCCAGCCGCAGGTCCATTAACCAGTCTGGATTAAACAGTTTCCAGACTGATTATTTATTAACCAGGCAAAACCATTTGGGAGGAGGTGATGTTTTAAGCTGCTACTCCTTAGGCACAGTGTATTATCTGTCCCTGATTCATGTCTCACACCGGGTGTGGGTACTGCAGGGTGGGGGGATGGCTTGCGTGGCCGCGGAGTCCTTTGGCTCCAAGGGTGCGGAGGGGTAAAGGTGGGATGTGGTAGAAGAGAAAGGATTTGGCAATATTGGTTTCCAGGCTGGCACAAAACTTCAGCCTCCTTCAGTGATGCCCTATGAGTTCCCTTCTGCCTGCTCTGTTCCCCTGCACAGGGTTTGGGTTTGAAGCTGCTGCTGCAAAGTTGGGTCCTGGATTGGAAATCCTTACTCTCAAACCACCAGTATTCTCAGGTTTGTGGGTACGATCCTGTTGTTTTTCAAAAGTGCTCAAGCAATTTGCGAGCCCCTACTTGTGCTCAAAGCCATGTGCGCTTTTGAAACATTTCTGCCTGAGAGAGGCCAAACTGATTTCTCATCGGGCACCTTGTTGCTTGGGGGGGAAAGCGGAGAGTTTCCTGCCCCGCTCTTGCAGGTCCCTTCATTAACTGCGCCTGCCCTGGGATAAAAGTCCCCTGCTGCGCTGTCAGCTCTTTTCAGGTCCTTCCCATCATGGTGACAGCCCTTCTGGTTTTGTTTTCCTGGTGAAGCCCCTGGGACGAATGGCGGGTCATGCCAGGCTCCATTGGGCAGAGGAGCAGCAAAGAAGGGGCCACGCACCGCAGCAGGCAGCAGCGTCCGGCGCACGAGCCGTAGCCCTTGCAGGAAGCCGCTCGCACAGGCCTGCCGTCCAGCAAACAAGGCTGCGTGTCGCTGCCACGTGCCGAAACAGCAGCGCTCTTTCCAGGGCCCAGGAAGCGTCCCGCTCCCGCGCATGCACGACTGCCCAGGGCTTGGCGCTGGAGCCGGAGCGAGCGGCAGAGCGTCAGACCTTGGCTCCCGGTGCCACCCTGTGCTTTGCAAATCGGGTCTGGCGTGTGCTCACGCGTGCTGCTGGGCAGAGGCCGCGCCACGGTCCTGCAGACGCGTTGTGGCAGAGCTTAGGAAGAGGGTGCCAAAAGCCTGGGCGCAGAAAGGTTTTGGTCTGTGGTCCTTGTCCTAGCTGTAAGCTAAAGCACCACCAAGGTTTCTCTCTGTAGCAAGGGTCTCTTCTTCCAGAGGAGCTTGTCCCTTTGCTTTTCTCCACTGCTCCGGGAAGCCCCAGCTGCTTTCCCCGGAGGTCCATAAACTTCATCACAAAATTCAGTTCCGAAATGCGTGTGCGTGGGGTGGGACGGGAGGACTGCTCGGCATCAAACCTGGCCTCTTGGAGCCTCCCACCAAGAGAGGGGAGCTGAGCCAGGTACAGCCTTTCCTCAGCTGTTTCGGCTGCCCCCACAGTTCACAGCTGGCTCAGATGCCATCGTCCTGCGGGCGGCATCCAGGGGGAGCTCGCTGCGGACGTCCGTGGGCGCTGCGGGGGGAGTGCTCGGGCTCGAGCTCAGTCCATCACAGGCACACCAACCCACTGCGGTGACACCGGCGTACGGTGACAGGTAAGAAACTGCTGATGTCAACTGTTAAATTTAAGTCACTTAACTGTTTTTATTTGTTTTTAAATTAGGATGGAGAAGAAGAATTTAACCGTGCTAAACTGCTGAATATAGGATTCGCAGAGGCTTTGAAAGAGTATGACTATGATTGCTTTGTGTTTAGTGATGTAGACCTCATCCCAATGGATGACAGGAACACCTACAAATGTTACAGCCAGCCACGGCACCTCTCTGTATCCATGGATAAATTCGGCTTTCGGTGAGACGCTTTTTGGAGGGGCATTTTGTTCCTAATATCGCCATTAGCCTAGCAGGCCAGGCGCAGCGTTACGCATCCCCACCCACCATTGAAAGCCTGGGAAAATGTCTCTGGCAAAAGCCTGTCTTGGCCTGCTTGTCCCTGCAGGGAGCGGGTGGCTGCGAGCAGGATCGGCTGGAGGGGAGGAAGGGGGAGAAACACAGCTGAGGGTTTATTAAAATTCACAGCTTCTGGAAAGTGAAATGTAGGGCAAGGAAAAACTAAGAGCCCGTCATTTTCCAGATGCCGTATATCCCTGCTTGTGTTTCAGGGTGGAAGCTGGAAGACGGCTAGTGTTTCCACCCAGTCTGAAAAGTGAGACACTCTTACACAGCGGGAATTATGTGCAGCTTTAAAAAGACTGCATCAGACACTATTTTAAGAGCAAAACGAAATATTTTTGGCTGTTCGATTTTGGGCCAATGAGGGATCTGCCGTGGTATCTGAGAGCAACAGAAAATGTAATGCTTTTCAGCATACATGTGGGTTCAGCAAGCTGCTGCGAACAAAAATGTGTCTTGCTTTTCCTTTCTTTCTTTTTTTCTATGCCAAATCCCCAAGGGGGAGTTTAAAAGCTCATCTATAAATTGAAAACCGGTCACGACCCCATGCTGGCCGGTAGTGCTAAAGATACAGCAGTGGTTTTGGTGGGAGGACCCCTGCACGTCTCCACTCCAAACCCAAGCCCTGCTCAGAGCGGGACTGTCACCGGCACCACAGGAGCTGCAGTTTTTTCTTGCAGCTAGGTGAAGCTTACAGCAGAAATGCAGGCCCCAGGGGTTTCTTCTGCTTGCTGAAGCTGAGACGAGGTCTGTGGTAGGTCCAGGTGATCCCTGCGTGGGCCCTCTCCTGGTGCTGTGGGTCTGAATTTTGTCGGTCCCTGATCCCCTGGTGAATCATCCCCCGTTTGGAGCGGGAGCTGGTTGGCTTTGTGTGTGCATGGTTACGCTGCCGGCCCAGTTTTGGGCTGTGAGCTTTCCTTTGGGGCACTGGGGAGTGTGGAGGCAAGTGGGGGAGCGGCAGGAAGAGAAGGCTCTGCGGCACCTCCGATGCCTCGCTGAGCTCTTGCCACTGCCGGAGCATGCATGTTGCCCATCTGTCCTTGGGCAAGGACACCGGCCTGTCCTTTGAGGACAGTGCATTTCTTAGTTAAAGGCTGCAGTTGTTGCCAGTTGCAAAATACTTCCCAGCTGTATTTGGGACTGAGCCTACCAGCTCCCTCGGCCGAGTCCCGAGCACCAAAACACATGCTGCTCCCTGCTGCGGGAAGGGACCTTGCGGTGGGTGCTGGCTCACCGTGGGCTGGGGTGAAGGGCAGCCCCAAGCCCTTTTCAAGCACACCCACTGTTCCTTGGCTAGCACCTCTCCTCTAATGGCCTTTTCTCCCTGCTTCCAGGTTGCCTTACAATCAGTATTTTGGAGGCGTGTCTGCTTTGAGCAAAGAACAGTTCAGAAAGATCAACGGGTTCCCAAACAATTACTGGGGCTGGGGTGGCGAAGATGATGACATTTATAACAGGTAAATGAATACCCCACTCAGCACCCAGAGTGCCTCCAGGGTGGGGATCAGCACAGACCTGCTGCTCTTGCCCGGGTGTGGGGGGGACGCAGGGTGTTTCTTCACCTCGACTGTGGGAGCCTCCCCTCCGGGTGGGGGACAGAGGTGGTGTGTGGGTGACCTGCTGGCTCAGCAAAAGCATGTTCCTGCTGGGTGCTGGCACCCCATTTCGGAGCTCCTGACGTGTGCTGGGGAGTGGGTCTGGCTGGAAAAACCCCACCCCTGCCCCACACACACATTGCTCGTTGGCTGCACAGTCTTGCAAGCATCCACGCCGGTGTGCGGGTTGGAGCAGCGTGCTTCTGGGCCTCCCAGCATTGGCCGAAGGAAGGGGATTCGGGGGGAGCAGTGGGGTGGAGAAGGCCTTGACCCACCTAGCCCAACACAGCCCGAGGCTTGCCTGGGTCTCCAGCCTGGTAGCAGATCCCTTTGTTCCCAGGAGAGCTTCGTTTATCAGGCTGTCAGCGGCTGTAAATAACGCCGTGAGCCATCGCTTCCTGCCCATAAGGAAGCGGAGCAAGGCTCAGAACTGCAGGAGAGGAGGAAGGTGTTTGCACAGGGCCGGCTGGGACCATCCCTGCCTAAAGGCTGGGGCAGAGGGTGGACGTGGGGTTGTGCTACCTTACAGCTTCGCATCCCCAGGGTGGCTGCTGTGAGAAATCATTCTGGGGAGCACGGATTTGGGAAGCCCACTTCGCGTTTCTCAGTGGCAAAATCACTCTGCGTGGTCTTTTCTGTGGGCTTTCTGAGCTATTCTGGGCTTCAGCAAGGGTCTTCCTTAAAGTGCTTGTACCTTCCTGAGGTTCAGCACTTCTGTTTAATAAACCAAGCCAGGGACAACCTTCCGGTGGGGCAGGCCATTCAGAGCAAGGTGGTAGTCCTCCCTTTTTGGGGCAGTCAGGTTTTGAGGAGCAGAAGATGCTATACAGAAATAAATGAAAAGGGAGGTGCAAAGAGGAGGAAACGAGGTACTTTTTCAGCATGGGTGTCCATGAACTGCTGGTGCCTTGCAGAGAGCATGCAAACAAAGACAGGCTGCCCCTTGCCTAGCAGGTCCCATCTGGCAACATTGTGGCTCTGAGTATGCCCCCCCATGCTGCTTCGCCACCATTCACTTCAGTTTCTACCAGCGCTGCAGCTTTGAATGCTCTTCTGGCTCCTTTCCAGATGGGTTAAAAACTAAATGGCTCCCATTCAAATTCCAGTCTACAGCCTGGAGCAAGGTTAATGCGGGTGTTGGGTGTTGGAGGAGCTGGCGGTGCAGGTGAGGGTGCAGTGAATCAGCAGATGCTTGGTGTTGGCAAGGGGATGCCTCTTTTTCCCCATGCTGATGTGTCCACCTGGAAAGGGACTGGCTTTCTCCTCTTCTGGTGTTAGCAAGCCTGCAAAAACACTAGCAACATCTTAAAAAAAAAAAAAAAAAAAAAAAAAAAACCCCCCCAA